GGACAATCTGGTATTTTTTAGTTTATTCCCTTTATGGAGATAATAAAAATTGATCCTAAATCTGTTATCTATTGTTTTTAATGCTTCTTTTGTTGATATATTTGTTCCATGAATTTTTAAAATTTAACTTTAAATGATATGCTTTGGTATTCCTCCATGGAAAACTGAAAAGATGTACATATTTTTATTGCACTCCACTTTTTCTTATCTATAACCTATTCCCTTTTTAAAATACATTTTTTTGGCCGGGCACAGTGGCTTGTGCCTATAATCCTAGCATTCTGGGAGGCCGAGGCAGGAGGATCGCTTGAGCTCAGGAGTTCGACACTAGCCTGAGCAAGAGTGAAACCCAGTCTCTACTAAAAAGAATAATTAGCTGGGTGTGGTGGTGTGCTCCTGTAGTCACAGCTACTCAGGAGGCTGAGTCAGGAGGATCACCTGAGCCCAGGAGTTTGAGTTTGCTGTGAGCTAGGCTGTTGCCACAACACTCTAGCCCGGGTGACAAAGCAAGACTCTGTCAAAAAATAAATAAATAAATAAAAATTGAACAGTAAATTTTATTATTTTTTTGGTCCTATAGAAAATTGACTTTTAACCTTGATTCTATTTCTTAAATTCTCCATACAGATAATATTTATTAACTCCCTGCTAAGAAAAATGAAGAAATAAATATATACACATTTCTTCTCATGTTCCTGCCCTCATCCATATTTCACAACCTCAGTGCCTTGACTTTTCCATTTTTTATAATATTACTATAACCCTGAGAAACAACTGGAATAGTCTCACCAGCATTCTTATCTAAGTATTTCATTGTTCCTCTGATTGTAAGCAAACGAGAAGGGATAAGTGACATCAGTTACTAACCAATTTAGTTAATGAAATTTGAGACTTGTAAACTGACAAGGTGTAGATGAGCTTTCTGGACTTTGAGTTGATGCTGTAATGGGATGAGACTTTGGGGGACGATGCATTTTGCATGTGGACATATGTGAATTTGGAGGACCACAGAAAAAACTGTGGTAGTTATAACAATAGCCTCTCAAAGTTCACATTAGAATTCCTGAAACTTACCTCACATGGCAAAAGGGACTTTGCAGATATGAGATGATCACAGAGATTGAAATGGAGAGATTACCCTGGATTGTCCAAGCAGGTCTAATTTAATCACATGGCCTCTAAGAATGTAAAGAGAGATGCAAAAAGATATCCTCTGAGAAGGGCCTGACCCACTATTACTGGCTTTGAAGATGGGAGTAAGAGGATCCCTGAGATAAGGAATGTGGGTGGCCTCAGAAGTTGGGAACAGCGCTCAGTTTACAGCCAGCAAGAAAATGGGGACCTCAATCCTTCCATTGCAAGGACATAAATTCTACCAACAACTCTAATTAGCAGTAAAAAAAAAAAAAATCTCCTTTAGGACTTCCAGGAAAGAACATAGGTCTGCCAACAACTTGATTTTAGTCTTACGAGACCGTACCTGATTTCTGATATACAGAACTATAAAATAATACATTTGTGATTGTTCAAGAAAATAAATTTGTGGTAACTTATTAAGGCAGAAATAGAAAACCATCTGTTTAGATCAATTTCATAATTCTTCCCCTATATTAAAGGCCTTCCACTCTGAGACCATGTAATCTCTACCTACTTCTTGAACACATCAGGATCCTACAAGCAAGGAGAAAGGGGTGGTTGGCAGGGAGAATGGCAGTGATCGGTGCCTGCCACAAATGACTAACCCTCTTGATTTGGTTTAAGTCTCTAGTCTTATGTCTCAGACTTCTACCTCATGCTTTATGATCCAGCAGTTTCCAGTCTGTGGGACAGATGATCTTCTGCTTCTATGTTCTTGGTAATTCTGTTCCCTCTGCCCGGAACACTCCAGCCCATTACACCTAATATTCAAGAAATGAGTGCTTGAATTGTGCATTCTTAGTAAGAATCTTCCTGAATGGCAATTATAGACACAAACTTTTTATACTTCACATTATGAAAGGCTTGAAAAGTACACCAAAGTAGAGAGAATATTATAATGAATCCCCATTAGCCATGATTCAGTTTCAATAATCAACATTTCCATCTATATTTTTAAATCAGCTAGGAAGTAGCGATTTATTCCCACAGCTGGCTGACCTCTTGTCAACAGGCATTGTTTGATTTCTACCTAAGGTGAGGACATAGATTTAGTTCTCCAGCATCTTAGGTCTTGTGAACTTTAAGAGCAATAATGACAAAGCCACTCTCAGAAGCAGCCATTAAGTACTAGCAGTGACCAAGATAAGAGAAAAATCCTACCACAGACTAGAACCTGAAAAACATTCCGTAAGTGTCCGAAATGGCCACCATATGGTATAGGACTTGCTTAGCAAGGGCAATTCTGGCCACTTAAGGCTTAATTCAAGAGAAAGGGTTTTGTTTTTGTTTTGTTTATATTTAATGGCTCACTTCAGTGTTAGCAATAGAGAAAATGTGTCCCTTCTGTTTTACATAAATCGCACTGACCGCAGAATGTTTGAATTCATTTAACCCAAAACAAAAACAGAGGAGTGACGATCTTTTTGGAGTTTCAGGGCTGTTCGTTCCCAGCGCTGTAAGTAGGACCCGACCTTTCATAGCCCCCGCACTGCGGGAAAGGCTCTCCCACCGAGGAGGAGTGGGCGGTTGGGGGCGGGGGGGACCAGAGGAACTCCATCTTGAAACTAGATCTCAGGCAAAGAAACACACTTTAAAAGGAAGCAGAACGAAAGAACAAAGGCTTGAACCCTGGGCCTGATTAGAGACTTGACCAAGAGAACAATAACTAACGGTTCTCAGCCTCCCTCTCATTCCCTCCCGCGCAGAGGAGAGAGGTCCCGAACTACACTTCCCAGAATGGAAAGCGGTGAGGCGGGGCTAAAGAAATAGCGTAGTTTTGCCTCGAGCTATGTTTGATTATAAACGCCATTCCTTCTCCGTGGCTTTCCTCCACCTCAGTCTGATTGGTTGGGCAGTCCGTACGTGGGCGGGCGGATCGGTCGTCACAGGCAGAGGTTGAATGGAGGCGCTCCGCCCCGCGACCTGGTGGTAGATGAAGTCCTTGCTCTGGTCGGAGCGGTAGCTTCTCCCGCTGCCTCCGAGAAAGCGGAACTACATTTCCCAGTGGGCGGCGGGAATGCCGGGCGGCGTGGGGGCGGGGCCTCACGTCTGGTACAGTCATCCCAAGCCTTTTCGGTGGGACTGTGATGGCCGGAGAGATGACGATCTTAGGTTAGTGCCCGGGGGTCCCTGTTATTGTCGCTGGCGTCTAGGCGGTTTGAGGAGGCCGCATGGGCGGGGGTGGTTGTCTCACTTCCTGGATCCTGTTGGCGCAGCAGGAGGAGAGTCGGAAAGGTGACTTAGACGCGGTTTCTGGCTGTTCGGAGCGGGTGGGGTTGGGGCCGCCTCTAGGCCCAACTAGGCCAAGGTAGGGCCAGCGACGACCAGTTGCGTACATCCGTGGGATGTCGGGCTTAGGGAAGCGTTCTTTGTACAGAACCTCGGTTTTGAACTGTTGGGTGAATTGGGGACTTTGGAAGGCTACAAGAGTGAGCATCTCCAGGACCCCTTCGTGGAGGAAGGGGGAGGAGCAGCAGCAGCATCTGGAGCTGTAGACTCCGGGGATGCTGAATTTGGAGGGATTGAGGCCTCTTTGATGTATTGCCCAATGCTGATGCTCTTCCCACCACATGAGGCTGGGAATTACCCTTCCCTTGCCTAGAAGGTGATAAAGCACTTCTGAAATTTTGGCCGTAGGTGCAAGAGGAAAGTGGTATAGACACTTGGTTTCATGTCTTTGAATTGTGTGTTGATGAAGATGAGCCAACAGTTAGTAACACAAAGTTCTACAAATTTACATTTTGAGTCACATGTAACATGAGTGGACACAGGTATATAACAACAGCTTCCTGAAAACAAAGACAAGATAAATTCTAAATTCATAGTGGCATCTTCACTGTGTTTACGATTTATGTATCATTTGTTCCTATTCGTTTTTTTTTTCTCTCTTTAATTAATATTTGTTGAGCATCTGCTCTTCCTGGCGTGGGAGATACGACAGTGAACAAAACCTGTCTCCAAGGAGCTTGCGTATATATTGCCATTAGGTGACATGTGCTTCTTCTCCCCTAATTATTACCTCGGCAAGAACGATGTCCTTAGTTTATACTTAAATACATGAAAAGTTAACTGTGTTCTGTTATGAAGTGACAGTGTAATACCTAAACAATTTTCAAAATTATTTTATGCAATTTACCTATTTAATCCTTTTGAAAAGGAAAAGGAGGGGAAATACAAAAATGAAGAGTTTTAGCCTTACAATAACAAATTTTTTGTTGTGTAAACAGTAATAATGAGTTTCTTTTTATTAATGATAATTAAGCTATTTACAAAGCCATAAGTTCTAAATATGAATTAATCAATAAAATTGGATTATGTCCAGCTTTTACTCCAGATGAATGGTGTTTCCTGTCAGCATCAGCACAATTAACAAAATATTTTTACATTTTATTCCTTTTTTCATCCATTAATGAACTACACAAACAGAGTTACAGAGTTTCGTGGCGTTTTTGTCATTACTTCATTTTTAGTTGTAGTATAACTTATTTTCATTATGAAAAACTTGATGTCTGAGAGAAATGTTATTCTATAACAAAACAGTTTTAGATTTATGTTTTCAGTCTTGTTTCAAAGAGTGGTATTAAAGGAACTTTGCTATAGTAATTTAACATACTGTACTAGTTTGTTAAGATATATCTTTTAATTTGACTGTATTTCAGGATCAGCTGTTTTGACTCTCCTGTTGGCTGGCTATTTGGCACAACAGTATTTACCATTGCCTACTCCTAAAGTGATTGGTATTGACCTTGGCACCACCTATTGTTCCGTTGGGGTGTTTTTTCCTGGTACAGGAAAAGTAAAGGTCATTCCAGATGAAAATGGGCATATCAGCATACCCAGCATGGTGTCTTTTACTGACAGTGATGTATATGTGGGATATGAAAGCTTAGAGCTGGCAGATTCAGATCCTCAAAACACAATATATGATGCCAAGAGATTCATAGGCAAGATTTTTACCCCAGAGGAGCTGGAGGCTGAAATTGGTAGATACCCATTTAAGGTAAGTGATTAATCTAAAATTTATCTTAATATTGGTGTATTGTTTAAATTAATGCTTTGGCTTCACATTACAAAACATTCTATCTCAACTGGCTGAATCTGCATGGAAGTTATATTATCTCACATAACAAGAAATTTCACAGCAGCTCTGGGAGTTAATTCAGAACTCCCCAGTGCTATCAGAAACTTAAGATCTTACTATGTTCTTGTTCTCCCATCCTCAGAGTGTCTATTTAGGTCTTTCAAGGTGGTAGGAAGGTTGATGAAGCCCCATTTACTATAGATACATAGATATTCTGTGTGTGTATGTGTACATATTTGTATACATAAAAGAGATCATACCAGGTATGCTATTTTATAACTTATTTGAAACTCAACAATATGCCATGGACAATTAGTTAATAGGTTCACATCGTATCTTTAATGATCTCGTGGAATGACTATTCCATTATTTAATTGACTAGTCTCTATCATTATATCTTTTTTTCCTGGTTTTCACCAATGTTGGAGGTTCAGGGAATATCCTTATACACATATCTTTGTATATTTCTCTGAACTCTTTCTAACAAATTCTAGAAGTAGAATTGCTAGGTCAAATGTGTACATATTTTTTAAGGCTTTTGATTGATGTTGCCAAGTTGTACCTATATCTTCACTAATTATTATTTTTTAGTCTTCGCCAGTTAGACTAGTGAAAAGCGATATCTTGCATTAATTTTCATTCCTTCGATTTCTGGTGAAATCAGATTTTGTAGAAATTTATGAGTATTTTTTGATCCAGCAATCCCATTTGGGCATCTACCCAAAAGAACAAAAGTCGCTCTATGAAAAAGACACCTGCACTCGAATGTTCATAGCAGCACAATGCACAATTGCAAAGATGTGGAAACAACCAAAATGTCCATCAATACATGAGTGGATTAATAAACTGTGGTATATGTATACCATGGAGTACTATTCAGCTTTAATTTTCTTTAGTGATCCATTTTTCGTTCCTCGCCCTATTTTCTTTTGGTGTCTTTCTTTTTTCCTTAATGACTATAAAATACTTCTGTTACACATTTTTGTTATTTTTCCCTTACTATTTTTTTAACTGATGATATATTATTTTATTTTTGAGCTGTCAAAGTTTTAAATTTTTATATGGTAAAATGATCTCTTAATAATTTTTTTAAATTGGTTTTAGAATCTTACTGTGCTTACTATGACCTTTCCCATCCTATACACTTGTTTTTTTTTTTCTCTAGTCTTTTTATGTGAGTATTTGTTGGGTTGGGTTTTGCTATTTTTTTTTCTTTTGAACGTTCAGACCTTTTTCCATGTAGGGTTTTTCTTGTAAGGAATGAAGTGGGATTCTAAATAAATTAGTTTAAAAATAATTAGACAGTATATCAGTGCTGCTTATTGAATAACCCTATCCATAAAAATTC